CTATGGTTAAACAAATGTTCAGTAATATCTTGCAAAGATTTCCAAATTTTGACACAATTATTTTTCTATGTAGTGTTGAAATGGCAACTAGTAAATACACCAAGTTTTGTCATGCCAGCATGTCTGGAAATATTTAAAACAAGCGTGTTACAACTAGCCCCGCGTTACTTTGTGCCCTGCGCTCCCCTACTTCACAACCTCTCAGCACTGTTTGAAGAACATGAACATCATCAGCTGTAGTTTTGTTGTTGACTCACTCTAGTTTGCATATTTGCATTTGTCTTACCTGTCCTTTTAAAGCTATGTGTTTGCACTTAGGCTGATATTGTGTGCATGAAGATTTTGCTAAACGATCATTTTGATCCATACAATGTATTGTTGGATATTGCCACAAATGTACCGACTTACGACCGGTTTTGTGGTCCAGGGTCACATTAATCTGCTTAATAAAAATAACCTGCAATTTTACTATTTTACTACTGCAATTATACCATACTTTGGTTAATAAGTTAGACAAACTTTTTCTTTCATGAAATGTAATATGGTTATTTGGGTTGTTTTGAAACAATTCTGGGTCTGGAGACGGGGTAGCTTCATGCTATTGTGCACTCCTTTCACCGCCATCCATTTTTGCTGTCACTGCAGTATTCCATTTTGTTGTGTGCAACCTCTTTTTGTTTTAATTTTATGTGTAATATGTTTGTTTTTGTTTTTAAACTTGATTCTTTATCAAGTGCTTTTTTTATTTGTAAGAGGTTACTTCGGAATCTATCACCACTTTTTGAGGAACATAATGAGGAACATACAGTTTACATCTTACATCAGTTTACATCAGTTTACTCTTTTATCTGTCCTTTTAAAGCTCTGTGTTTGCTCTTTAGGCTGAGATTTTGCACAGTAAAACCTCTAGTGTTGAAATCCTGCACCTCCCCCAAATCTCACTTCCTGTTTAACAAGTTTAGATTTTTACAGAGCAGAGTATGCATAATATCAATGAAGTGCTTTACAAAGTGCAACCAAAATAAAACAATATAAATCAAAAATTAAAAAAAAATTAAAAGCCCCAAATAAAATCCAGTCAACTAAAAGCTTGTTTAAATAACTGTGTCTTGAGTTGCCTTTTTAAAAGAAAATCTGTATCTTTTAACATGGAACATTGGCACAATGTACCCAACCTTCTAACCACTATCCATTTCCCCCGAATACCACTTCCTGCTTAAAAAGTGTAGATTCTTGCAGAGCAGAGTATGCATAATGTCAATACACCTGTAACACTGCGGTGTACTCAAGAACAGGCTGAAGACTCAGAAGATGAAATCCAAACAACACTTTAATAGTAACAATAGTAATAGTTTTTTATAGTTTTAAACAATTTACTTGGAATAGTAAAATCACAACGTGCTTTGCAAAGTGCAACCAAAATAATAAAACAATATAAAATCAAACATTTGTAAAAAATTAAAGCCCCAAATAAAATCCATTCAACTAAAAGCTTGTTCAAATAACAGTGTCTTGAGTTGCCTTTAAAAAAAAAAAAGAATCGACAGAGTCGGCCAAACGGAGGGACAGGATCTCTAAAAAATCTGTATCTTTTAACACAGAACGTTGGCACAACGTATACCCAACTTTCTAACCTTTGAAATCCTGGTGTTAAAGGGTTAGTTCAACCAAAAATGAAACCCCATGCTGTACCAACACCATAAGACCTTTTGTTCGTCTTCGGAACACAAATGAAGATATTTTTGATTAAATTTAAGAAGTGGATCACTGCTACATAGGCTGCCTAAGGGATTGAAACTTGACGGCCCAGAAAGTCAATGAAGAAAATGTTTAAATATTCCATGTGACAACAGTGGCTCAAGTATAAGTTTATCGAGCGACGAGAATACTTTTTGTGTGAATATGAATTTTACTACTTTAAGTAATTTATATTAACTGATCCAAATTTTCATAATCAATTATAACCAATTATTATTTATTATTAATATTTCATAGAGTTAATTTGTTACAGAGGGTAGTAACTAATCCTGGATCTACACAGTGCGTTAAAACATTGTGGAGGCTGGGCACTCTAACAAGGAACCCTCGATAAGGGATGATCTAGCAGAGAGGCCTCATGAGAGTCCTTCAACCTTAAGGGATAGGTACAGTAGGTTTGGCTCTGGGCTAGAATCAGGGAGGCTCAAAGGGAGCCTACATCATAATGATCTTATTTATTGCTTGATAACGACGATACTTTTTAGCAGAAGTAGACTCAGATATCGGTGTGCTCACAGAAATACTGTGGGCCCGTTTTTTCCTACAAACACTAAATTGGTGGACGCCATCTCACGCTGAACAAAACCTGTTTGAAGCTCTCATGCACAGTGGCCTCACTAGAGATTTCTCTATGAGATGATGCCAACCTGCACATCACTGGGTAAACAAGATTGGCTCCACCTACTACTTTGTACATAACCCTAATGACTCTGTCACAAGAGGAGGCCTATGATAAGTTATGTAAGCCTACCTATAAAAAAGGAACTTCAATATCATTTCAAACATACCTGATTCCATGAAAACAGTTTTACTAGTGCCAGGAATTAAAGATAAAACTTGTAAAATATCTGGGACAGAAAACTATAGGCCAATTGAATTGTCAAGTTTGATCTCAAAAGTATTTGAGCGAATCCTCATGGATAGACTCAAAGAATATTTAATAACTACGGAAAAACAATTTGGCTTCAAAAGTAATCATGGTACTGATCTATGCATATATTCATTAAAAGAAGTGCTTAGTAAGTATTATGGACATAAATCCACAGTTTTTTTGTGTTTTTACTGTACATGCATCTAAGGAGTTTGATCGAATCAAGTTATCAAGTAATTAAGTTATTTATAAAATTGCAATAAGGGTTTCCCCTTATCTGATAAGAATTTTACATTTTTTGGTATATAAAGTAAAGTAAAGTAAAGTAAAAAACAACTTTATTTTCATTCTTCCATATACTTGTATACAGCTGAACGAAATTTCGTTTCCTACGGGCCGAGGTGCATATGCAAAAATAAACGACAACAAATCACAACATCCTACAATAGACAGTGTAACACTGGCCTCAACTATTCACATGATACACACAATACATAATTACGTAATACAATAGATATACATATCGACTCACCTTCTGCGGAAGTCAACAACCATCTCCTTTGTTTTATCTTTTGTCTAGAGATCTAGAGATAGAGTTGTTGTGGCACTAGCGTAACAGTTGTTCCGCCTCCTCTCTGTATCCTGCTTCATCGTTGACGCTGATGCGGCCTGCCACAGTTGTATCATCTGCAAACTTGATAAGGTTGGATTCAGACTTGGTAGTGCAGTCGTGGGTGAGCAGCGTGAACAGCGGTGGGCTGATCACACAGCCTTGGCGGGCACCTGTGCTCAGCGTGATGGCACCTGAAGTTCTGCTGCAGATGCGCATTGATTGTAGTCTCTCTGTTAGGAAGTCCAGAATCCAGTTGCAGGTTAGAGAGCTGAGGCCCAGCAGTGAGAGTTTCTTTACTAGCTGTTGGGGGATGATAGAATTGAACGCTGAGCTAAAATCGATGAACAGTATTCTGACGTATGCGTCCTTAGGGTCCAGATGTGATATAGCAGAGTGCAGGGTGCGGTTGGGACGATATGCAAACTGCAGGGGGTTCAATGAGGTGAGGAGGGAGGAGTGTATCTTGACCAGTCGCTCAAAGCACTTCATCATAATGGGACATATCACTGCTGACTTCTTCGTCACTGGAATGATGGTGGTCTTTTTGAAGCTCGCGGGGACCCCGGCCTGGCGCAGGGAGATGTTATAGACTTCTGTAAAGACCCGTGCTAGCTGGTCTTAGCACTTAGCACTCTACCTAGTATGTTGTCCGGACCTGCAGCTTTGCATGGGTCGACTCTGGATAGTGCTCTCCTCATGTCAGCTGGGTCCAGAAACAGGACCTGCTCTTCAGGGGTGGGTGTGGACTTGTTATGCCTGCATGTTATTCAGGGCTGCTTGTCAGGAAGATGAGCGTCATGCTTGTTGGCCTGTGTTATAACTTTGTTTCGCTTTCCTGATGGCCTTGAAGAGCTGAGCCCTTGCTAAAAAATACATTTTTAGATAATTTAGCTTGTTTTTAGCAAAACCTCACTTAATTTTGATTAATTCCCCTGGAAAATAAGACATAATATCTTATCTACTTTTACTTCTAGTAAATCTAGTAAATGCATCTTGATTTTATAATTTTTTGATATTTGACTGGAAACCAGACAAACTTATGAAAACTAAGAACATTTTTTTTTTTTTTGCAGCACACTGAACCCTTTTGAACTTTTTTCTAAGTATGTAGCCTTTTTTTCTCATTGTGGATGTGATTTAACACTATATAGTTTAACCATTCAACAAATAATGAATGTTTGAAGAGATCAACCATGACAGTTGTGACTGTGAGGACCAGATGGTTTTCAACATCATTAATGCAAAGGTATTAGTGCTGGTCCTGATGCTTCAGAACCTCCTGCCTGTGCTTTAGCTTGAATGTTATGGGTGGATGATAAGTTTCAAAGCCAATATCGCTGTAATAATGATTTAAAAACAAAATTCTATTCATGGACACATTTTGTGTGCTTTCTAAGCAAAGTAAATAATTAAATACATTTCACATTTATATTTGTAAGCAGTCATTGTCAATAAATAATATGCAAAGTAGATGTCTTTTTATTATTTATTGACAATTATATCAAAATATAAATTTCGATTCAAATTAAAAGATTTGAATGATTTAATACAAGAAGAGTATTACAAAGCATTCCTTAAATGGACATTCCTAACCTAAAAATCATCAGTAGACGAAATGCATTTACTTTTATGCTAAATAAGATAAAGACATTTTAATTGCAAAAAAATAAATTGAAAGAAGACTCTTGCTTCATTCCAATCTAAATGCATCAACAATAAAGTTTCTAGAAAATAGGACAGCTGTGATAAGTACTTTTAAATGGCATTTCCATTTATTGCTGTAACGATAAAAAGTGGTAATAAAAAAGGGCAATAAATCAACACACAGTTTGTGCATCATGCAGTTTTCATCTAAAATAAAACACAATGTTCAGACAAATTTGATGAAAGTAAATAATTTTAAAACCACTACAAATACCAATGTGAGTAAAGGAAGAAGATCTATATAATGTAAAACTATTTAAAACATTTACTGAAATTCATGTTAGTTCATCTGTTAGTTCTTCATATTTTGGGCTTTTTGTTGCTTGATGACCTCAGTTTGACAGTTGCTCTGCAAGTCTCTCCAGCTGTTCGATCTCTCTTGAGACATCTAAAGACGCATATCAGAGACAGTGATCGAGATTAGTCAACACTTCACATCGCAAAATGTTTTGTTTACTTTAAACGCTTGTTTCTTACCCATCATTTTGACATTGCTGATTTTTGACAGTGAGAGTTGCAATGATCTCTTTAGTCTTGATTCAAGAAAATCCTTTATCTGCAGCTTTACACAGAAACAAGAGAAGATTCAGCTTGACTTTAGTCATTGTACAACTATAGATATACGATCTTCTTAATAAATATGATATCAGTACCTTTAAATTGTTGAAATTTTTAAGCATTTCAAATTTTGCCTTGTTGAACATGTCATGTTTTATCTCATCGACTGCGGTTATGAGCAGTTCCTGCCTTTTCTTCATGGATCCGATTCCAGTCACTGCTGCAGCTTCTAAAATAAGAAACACGTGGTTTCTAGTAGTGATTGTTTCCAAATGCACCCTTTTACTGTATACAATGACCTTGTGATTAGAATAATTGTTTTGCAAGCCCACAAAACTATTAATATAAATAGTTAGTGTTTTAATGTAACTTTTAATGCTCGCTTACGTTCATAGTAAGGAGACATTTGCTTCTCAATGGTTGTTTGGATTGATGAGTAGATGTCCTTCTTTCTATCAACAACCTCTCTTTTGAGTGATGCCTTCAGTTTAGTTTCCTTATAAAATAGGCGGAAAACACTGTCAGAAAAATAAAAACTATCAAAAAAAAAGGAAAAACAATGTCCCTGCTTACTTCAGTAATGAGGATTGAGGACATTGACTTCAGAGGGAGTAAAGAGTGTCACGAGTGTCACCCCTGAGTGACCACAGGAGGACAAATGAACTCACCTCTGTTTTGATGAAGTTCTGAATGTGATGTAATATGGGAGATCCAGGGTCACTCTGGATGATACTGAACTTGTCAATCTGTTCTTGCACTGACTTCAATGTTGTTCCAGTAACACTGAAGCCAAGAGAAAACGTAATAGAGTTTCATTTAAAAACTGTCTACAGAATATTGTTGTCGTCACATTCATAACAGGGTTTTAGTCACATCCATAACGTTGGTTATATGTTCGGTCCTGTCTTAGGCTGTGTGAAATCTGGAATTGACAACATGTCAGAAGTGAATCATTTACTCAACTGGTTGGCCGGTGGCGTGGGTGTGACGCTATCTTTAGCCTACTTTCACTAAAACTGCTTCTAAGGGGCCATAACATAAGCTACAAGGTAATGGAGCATTTTATACATTGTCGTGTTTCTTTAAAAATAAATAAAGGTCAAATGGGGTTTTCAAACGCCTCAGATGTAAAGTTATTCGCTGTCAAAGAGACGCCAAAATGAATGGGAGTCAATGGGAATGCTAACGCAAGTGAAGTTCTGTTACAAGATGGCAGCTCCCGCGAGGCTTCAACTTCTGGTCGATGGATTACCCCCTTGAGTGTCACACAGGGAATTGTGGGAATGTCAATTTACGGTTTTTCACTGTAAATTATACAATGATTTGTTCTTTTTCACTTTCAAAAACTGTAAATTTAATGGTATTTTACTGTAAAATTATATTACAGTTATTAGTACGGAAACTTTACCAATTAACAGTTTTGCACTGTAGCATTTTTACAGTATTTTACCGTTAAAATCATGGTTATTTTTTTTACAATAAATACATAGTTACTGTATGCATATGATATTGCATTTCTGTCAATGAGAAACGCACCTTTAAAAGAAAGCAACCTTAGGTCTGTATTTGAAAGCATTCGTGACTTACAACCATTTGAGTTTTTCACATATGCTCAAAATGGTTACAGGTTACCAGGTTAAATGGAAAAATGAAATTTAACTTACGGGAAAATCAGATTGAAATATTCATTAATATATTCTTGCAAGTGTTTTGCCAATTGCCTGTTCAGATCTATGATTACGTCCCAATTTTTTGACCAGTAGCATCCACCGTTCTTGCACAAAGCTTGAAGGATTTTATGGAATCCTCTTTTATCAATATCCTGACAAAAACAAAAATACCAATGTCATTAAAAGGGTAAGAAAATTGTGGTTCACTTTGCACATTACAATCACACTTACAGGGGCTACAATTGCTTTTGTGGAAGCAACACATAATTGCACTGATTCCTCCACTCCCCTTGAGAGAAACTTCTCCAGATTAGTATAAATGGTGTCAAAACGACTGTCCAGTTCATTCAGTGCCTTCTTTAGGTTATTTTCTAATTCCATGCAGACTTTGACTTTTGTCTCCTCCTGAAACACATTTACACAACAGAAGTGAACTATAAATAATGTATATTGGCTGCATTCTGAAGACACACATGTACATCAGTAGTTCAGACTCATACCGTTTTCTTGTCTCTATCCAGCTGGACACTTTGGATCAAGGACAAAACTCCCCTTGCTTCATTGACATAATCACTGGTCAGCTCTCTGTTAATGTTCTTGTTAAGAATCCTCAGATCATCCCGTAACTTTGGGATTTCTAGAAGGGTATGACTTTGATCAGTCCTAGTTTGATTAACTACAAATTGGCATTTAGTTCATGTATGGATTTTATTTATTTTTTTATTTTTATTTTTTTTGAATAATGTGGTAGTTTGGTACACAGTTTTACCTGTTTCACTAGGTTCCATATTTAAATCATGTTCGAAGAAGGCTTTGGAGCTTACGGTGAAGACATTAAGCAAATTATCATCAGTGCTGAATCTTTTCTAAAAAAATAAATAAATAACAATAATAAATAAATTATATTATATCACATATTACCAGAACTTGTTAAAAAATGTCAAATTTAAGATACTACCTTGATTTCAGAATTTTCAAACTTGTCTTTGACTCTTGTCTTGGCATGTTCATTTCTATGAAGTATGCACACCTTTTTCTGATCCTTTTGAGAATGATAAAAACAACAACATATTAATGAAATGTATAATACCAGTGTGAAATGTAAGACAATGGTTGAGTGTATCATTACTGAATGTACTCAAACTAGCTGTATATGTAATACCAATTTTTTACATTGACTTTTCAACTTGAGCTGGAATTACACTCAAGGTTGAATATGAAATGGCAATTAAAAAAATAAGCTTATTTTCAGAACTTCCTAAAGGTATTTGTTTTACTTAATCTAAATAAAGAATTCTTTCAACATACACTTTCAAGGAAAACTTATATAAAGAAGAAATACTGCATATGCTATTCAGTTTAAGATTTTCCAAACCTTGTCTTCTGATATAGTAAGCCGTGCAGATCTAAAAAGAAATATTAAAAAGACAAAGTGTTTTTATTCTGATATTTTTTGTGTTAAATAGCTGTGACAAACAGAAGCTAAAGGGGTGCTTTTTGTAACATTTTGCAAACACTTGACAGACCACTCAACCATTCTCCAAAACAGGGGTGTCCAAACTCTGTCCCGAGGGCCACTGTCCTGCAGAGTTTAGCTTCAACTTGTCTCAACACACTGGCATGGAAGTTTCTAGTATGCCTAGTAGCACCTTGATTAGCTGGTTCAGGTGTGTTTTATTGATGGTTGGAGTTAAATTCAGCAGGATAGTGGCCCTCCTGGGGCAGAATTCGACACCCCTGCTCCAAAACATCAAGAAAACTGAACAAGCAAAATGATTGACACAATTCCTGACAATACGGTTCCCTCTACGCTGTTGAGACACAGAGACAAGTTGATTTATCTTTGATACCTACTTCAGTGACATCAGCCAGTAAAAATTCTGGCACCTTTAATGGCAAAGAGATTCTAATTCTAACCTTATATAGGCTGGTGGATTGATATCATCCGTTTTTGTACAGATGAAGTTGATTCTTTTGCATTCTCCTCCTGGTCCCAGTTCTTCAATGCAGTGCTTTAAAATCCCCCAGGGGTCTTTGTCGGTGGTTGCTCGCTTGATATCACTTACAATCCACACAAAAGAGCATTCTCTCAGTTTCTACAAGATTGGAAATAGTGATTTAGAAGACATGCTTTTAGTTTTAACAAAAATCATCCATACAACAACTTTTTTACAGTATACAGACAAAGCATTATTAAATCATTTACTAGCGGTTTGTGATGCAGCTGTTGGGAGATCCAATTACAGTTGGCTGCTTTATTTTTTAACAAAAGTTTCTTTGCAAACAAGCCTCCTTTACAACACAAAATGCTCCAAACAAACTTATAATTCGCTCAAGGACAACATTAAAATAAACCACTTTTCCAGGATACTTCTGAAGTACACAAATAAACTTTTTGAACGGGGTGCGTAAAAGCGAGCGTTCTTTCACTTTATACATTTTTCCTGTTGTTGACAGATTCAAGTGGGTGTGTGTATGTTAAACTAAATGTGTATCTGTGTGCAGTGTAGACAGCGTCAGTGATTATAATGGGTTTTATTTGTTTTTGATGTGACACGCACAGCCGGTGTAGGCACGTGTCAGCTTTTAAAGACCGAACGCCAGTGGGTGGGGCCTATATGGTGCGATACTACTGATTGATGTCTTGCTCTAGAGACAGTCAAATGACAGTGTATTTGCTCGTGTGACATCACAGATCCTGGAATGACAAAATTACAAAAATTTTTTAGCTTGATTTAATAATGCTTTGTTTCTAAAGATCTGGACGTGTTAAGCTACAAAACTTGCAGTATGTCTTAATGGTACAAAGACAATGGTACAAAAAAGCAAAAAAAAAGAGCATTTTGATTTGAAATTTGATTTCTCATGTCGTGACCCGCAATACTGTACGTATATTATTCCAAAAGTTCATTGGAATAGAGTGCAGTAATATACGTACAGATTTCCACTTGTCATCTCTTAACTTGTTGCAGTCTCCAGTGCCAGGAATATCAACAAGCACAATGTGTTCCAGAAGGTCATGACCATCTGGAACCTTAAAGGTCACACTCTTCACAAGCGGCCAGTACCAGCCACCAGTACTGGCTTCACTGTGGAGAATGTAAGGCGCAACATCACTGGAAAATTTAGAGACCTGTGGAGAAAACAATTAATGATGGATACTAATTCACAAATTCATAATAGCCTACTTTCAATGTCATAAGCCATGAGGCATTAAAGGGTTAATTCGAACCAAAAATGAAAATTCTGTCAGTAATTACTCACCGTCATGTTGTTCCAACCCCCTAAAACTTTCGTTCATCTTCAGAACACAAATTATTACGATATTTTTGATGAAATCTTAAGAGCTGGCTCACTCCTTCATAGGCTGCTAGGTAATCGATATCTCACAGGCCAGAAAAGTTAGTAAAGACATTGTCAAAATAGTGACTACAATGGCTCAACCTTACGTTTATCAAGCGACGAGAATACTTTTTGTGCGTAAAAAACCAAACAAAATTAAAGACTTTTTTTATTCCACTATTCAGTACGCGTAATGTGATAGCGCATCGCTTGGTTGTACGTCAGAACGTATGCTCACTATATGCTGATTTCACGTAGCCGCCATTTTGAAATCGCTCCGGTGGGAAGAAAACCGGAAATGTCGCTTTTAATCATAGGAGAGTCGCGAATTTGATCGCGTATTGTTGTTTTAATGTAGAAATTAGTTATTCTAAAAATGTACATACATTTACTATGTACATTTGCTATATTGGATATTAACATCCAATAGTGTCAATCGCGGTAGCAGCTTCAGGTTGGTAGTCCAAGGCATTGTTGTCTGTACTTCTCACCGGGTTCTTCCCACCGGAGCCTCGCTTTCGATTTCAAAATGGTGGCTGCGTGAACGCAGTGTATTGGCCAACGCTGGTCACTGTGATGCTGTCCAATAGTGAGCCTACGTTCTGACGTACAACCTAGAAGCGCTGTGCCACTCTATTCACTTGGACTATTTTAACAATGTCTTTACTAACTTTTCTGGGATGGCAGATATCGATTACCTAGCAGCCTATGAAGGAGTGAGCCAGCTCTCAGATTTCATCAAATATATCTTATTTTATGTTCCGAAGATGAACGAAAGTCTTACAGGGTTGGAACATCATGAGGGTTACTGACAGAATTTTCTTTTTTGGGTGAACTAACCCTTCAACATATTTAGTTTACTAACTTACATCGTTGTTTGAGATGGTTCTCTTATTAATAGACAAAAAGTCTTTAATCTCAGAAAATTTGTCATCGTTCTTGAGCTTTTCTAATGTTTTCTTGTCTGCATCATCTCCATACAGCGCAGTGATCTTTTCTACAGCAATTTCCAACATGTCATCATCCCTGTCCTCACTTTCATCTGACAAAACTCTGAAAAGATCTCTGAGCTCTTTCTCCCACTCCTGCAGAGGGACAATACAGAAAATAAGGCTTTTTTTCCCTTCCTGTCTGATTTAATAACATATTTATGAAGAACTATCACCGTATAGTAAAACGAAAACAAATAAGGAAACCTCATTAGAGAAGAGTTCAATTTCTGCTGTGTAGTTGGAGTCAGTCAGATTGGCTTCCACCTGAGTAACAACGGCTGTACAGGCACCAAAACAACCAGATGGCAGTAGATACCTTGTCCCCAGGACTGCACTTAATAGGGAGCTCTTCCCTTCTCCTGATTTTCCAAAAATCCCAATGGTTGCCTTTTTGCTGACATTATTCATTTTATTTATCTTTGACATGATGTCTTTGTGCATAATGACTGTGTGGACCAAGTTATCAGTGACTCTTTTCATGACTGGCTTTGCCTTCAACATGATCTCCATATCTGTACATGAAGAAGAGAATCACAATGGGGATTATTTAAATAAAGGAAAATAGTGCAGACCTTCTAGGCAACGAAGTGATTTGTTACTCTGGTAGTTCTAGATTAAAACAGATTCAGATTTTACTTGCCTGTCAGCGGTGACTCTATGCTGGAGTCAGAGTCAGACGATTCTTGATCAAGCTTTCTTTTAGTACCTGTGAGAGAATTAATTCCACTCATTATATTTCCTCAATCACTGACTGCAAAGCAAAGACATGTTTTTTATTTATTTATTTGAGAAATTTTTATACCTTGGCTAGACATAGTGAGATCGATGGAAAAAACACTGGGATTAAGCACATGGTCTAGATCAGGGGTGCCCAAACTTTTTCCTACGAAGGGCCAAAAAATCAAACTTGATTGTGGGCCGTGGGCCAAAAGTAAATTTTGCATCATAAATCAAACGGTATTACATTAAAGTTGCTATGGGTTTATTTATTTTATAATATTTAAAATAAATAAAAAACAACTTCAATCTGATTAACTAATGCAGTTTTATTTGTAAAGTTTTGCATTTTAAAGAAATCCCCTCTCCCCGGACGGTATGGCGGGCCAAATCAAAGGATACCACGGGCCAACTTTGGCCCGCGGGCCCTAGTTTGGGCATCTCTGGTCTAGATGTATTAACCCACTACATACCCCACTGTTATGCTACTTTTTGTAGCAGAAATGGAACATTATTTAGTCCACATTTATAGATGTTATCCAATTATACTGCAAGGATTCTTTATTCAACTTACAGCTAAAAGAGAGATCTGATGACAGTAAAACGTTTTGCTTCAAATTTTTTCAGTCATTTTTTATATATTTATTTATTTATTCATTCATTTTATTACAGACACAGCATAGTTCGCGAAACTTAACCCTAAATTAACACAAAAAATACATAAACACACAGTAAGCTTTTCAAATTTAAGCAAAATCTGTAAAAAAAAAAAAAAGTGGAAAAAACGTCTCAGGTTACGTATGTAACCCTGGTTCCCTGAGAGGGAACGAGACGCTGCGTTTGAGACGCGGTGGGAACACTCGTGTGATTGCGTGATTACGTCGTGAAGCACATGTAAAATCAGTCCAATGGAAGCCCAAAACGTCAAGGCGGGTGACGTTATAGACCAGAAAACTATAAAGCACCCCTGAAATCAGATCGCGCCAGCTTCTGAAAAACCTGAAGCAGGTCGATCAGGGCATGCAGGAAGTATGGCAGGCACATGCAGCGTCTCGTTCCCTCTCAGGGAACCAGGGTTACATACCTAACCTAAGACGTTCCCTTTCAAGGGAACTCGCATGCGTTTGAGACGCGGTGGAACCCCATACCCACTACGCCATAGTGACAAATGCCCGTTCTGTGTGAAGTCCTTGCGCACACTAAGAAGCATGCAACCTACCCCCTGGAGTGGAGAGGTCAAGGTCATAAAATCTAACAAATGTATTCGGAGAGAGGACCATCCTTCCGCTTTACATGTCAAGAAGGGAAACATCTGAAATTTAGGCCGTAGAGGCCGCCATACTCCGGTTGTCCGGCCGCTTCATAAGCCAATGATATGGCCTCGACATCCATTTACTCATAACCTGTTTAGATGCAGGGCACCCTCTCATGAGTGACCCAGAGCAGACAAATAATTGTTCAGACTTGCGCCACAGGGCAGCTCTGTGAACGTAGGCATCTAATGCCCGAACTGGACATAACAGGTTTAGTCGTTCCTGATCTGGGGTATTAAACGGTAGAGGATAAAAGGCCTGCAGCACTGTAGTGTGCTACAGCACTGTACCTTAGTGTACCACGGAGAAAACGAGTTATAAGAGGATCTCTCCCAAAAGAAATACCCCCCATACTTGTGTGGCTCCCAAAAGAAATTTCCCCCATAGCCGCCACGTAAACCTTTAGGGTCTTGCAAACAATCAAGAACTGAACCAACAGGGCAGTTAACAGGATCTAAATGACGTTCACCACACCATGTGGAGAATAATTTCCATTTCAATGCATACAGTCTTCTCGTGGAAGTGGCTCTGGAATGAAGAATGGTCTCAATGACCTCAGTCGAGAGACCGGATTCTATGAGCCGGGCCTCCTCAGAGGCCAAGCCCACAGTTTCCACAATCAGATGAGCCCCTTCCCGGCAAACCCTCTCCAGAACCCCCGGGAGCATAGATGTCCCCCCCGCTGTCAGATCCGTTTGCGAACCCCGAAATGCGAGTCGTCTCCGTGCCTCGGCAACAGAGAGACCTGCGCGGGGAATGCGAACCGAACCGTCCTCCTCGAAGAACTCCAGGTGGGAGGTTGAGCAGAGCGTCCACGCGGACAGCTTCTCGCAATGCCCACAGTCAGCTCCCTCGAGAACTGACTGTTGGCATGCTCCACTCCCAAACAGCAACAAATAGCTGATGTGTGTCTCCACCCGTAATGAAACGAGGGCAGGGAACAACACAACGTCTATAATCTTGCTTATTTGCCATATATATAGATAGTGATATACTGTATGGAAAGTATGACAATATTACATAATAGCTATCACTTGCTCGCAATATCATTATCACTCACCTCCACAAACTCTCTTTCGATCAATTCCGGTCCAGAGATATTTTTTTATTTCAGTTTCACAGTCTGCCCTCATTACACTTTGTTTTGATGCAGCTTCTGAAAGAGAACGAAGAATGAATTGGAAACATGTTGGATGGTAGTCCTTCAAACTCACAACCAATCTTGTACACTTTAAAGATCAAATTGGAAGACATCACAAATTGGAAGAGTTCACCGAGTGTTAGAAAACAAACAAAATATAAGAAAATAAAAACTTTCGTATATGTGAAGTGTTCATGCAGTATTGATTTTACCTTTGATTACATCTGCTAAAATAAGCTTAGAGAAGGGCTTTTTATCTCCTCTCCCCTGCCAGTTGAACTCCTTAGCCAGATCATCTGTTAGGACGCGCTGCATAATATTCTTAATCACATCCTCTGGCCCAAAACCTCCAAGCCTTGACAGATATTGTACCTGTAAAGTCTTATTTATTAATATTACATGTCTTGCAATAGGCCTACTTGATTCTTATTGGTCAAACACATCATTGAGTGTTCAAATATTTTGTGTAATGACCACAAAACTGTTTTATAGAATATAGCTCATTTGCACCATCTTGCATCAAATTGAACAAGGAACCAGAGCAGTGGGAAAGAGATCTTGAAATAGTTATCTGTGTTGTGCTAATCAAACAAAAGAGATTAATTGTAATGCAGATTAATAGTCATAGTCTGCAACGTTCTGTCTTTGTCTGCACTACACTTCCCAGAATCCTCTGAACTCACTCCCTCTATAGAGCTGGTAAGTCCCGCCCCCTTCCGCTAATCCCACTGGACCTCTAGGTTGAAAAATCGTCAATGCAAGTGAATGAGAGAAAATAATTATTTTCTAATCCCGTTTGAATTTTGCAATGAATGTAACATATGTTGTCTGTGAATTTTTTATATAATGTTTCATGTAAAGAATGCTACAATTTAGCGGGTAGAATTTTCATACGGTTAGACTTTGTGTGAGAGCACACTCTTTCGACGTGTTTGATATACATCACCACCATCACATGCCTGTGTCTTTGGTGCACTTCACCACCTTCTTTCAAGGAGAGGACAAACTAGTTGAGCGTGGTGAAAACCGTGATTTGTGGAGGGAAAATGTGTCATGCGGAGACGTCACATATGCGACGTAGTCTTTCTCCTTATGTCTATTCCACAACTGCTAGCCAAAGAATCATACAATATACTGTCAAACTTGTTACATGTGAAATTATATAAAAAATTCGCAGACAACATATGTCACATTCATGGCACAATTCAAACGGGATCAGAAAATAATAATTTTCTCTCATTCACTTTTGACGCTTTTTCAACCTAGAGGTTCACTTGGAGTTTTACGGATGGGCGGGACTTACCAGTCCAGCTCTATTACCCACCTGTTCATCATCTTCGTCATCCGTGTCACTTGTCCTCACCTCGTTATTGTTCATTAGTCTCTGTATTTAAGTTCCTTCTGCCCAGTCAGTCTTGTTGGTTCTTTTTAATGTTACCTGTTGTTTTGTTTGTGTACCCTCTGCCTGCCTGTACCTGTTTGTTTTTTGGATTTATTAGTAAATGTTTGCACTGGAGCCTTTTGACTCTGTCTCTCCTTCAACCTGCACCACATATGTAGCAGTATCTGCATTATTATTATAACACATTTATTAAGTAGCCGTGAAATAAGCAGGTTAATGTGTGGATAATTATTACAAAATAAACCCCTTACAGGTGTGGTAGGTCAGAGTGTAAGTTATCCCTTTCTTGAAATGCTGTGTTGACTCACATATTTGTGGCGTTTCGCTGTATTACTGAGCTCCCTTTCAGTCCTGAGCACATCTTCAATGGTTCTTAGAGGCAGATTAAGGCTTGTTTTAACATCTCTAGTGGGTAAACTGGTACTGCTGGGGGCTTCAGAAGACGGATTGTCTTTCAGTAGTTTCTTTAACATAGAAGAGTTTTCCTGAACTGTGCTCTTGATGTCTTTCAGCATTTGGAGGAGATCATTCTTGCCTGTTGTGTAAAATGAATTGTGTTGTAATTACAAAAAAAAAAGAAAAGAAAAGAAAAAACTTCTCAATATGATTACAAAATAAGCTGACTTACCATCAGCTGGCCTTCTGGATGTAGATGGTGTTGGAAGAACTGGGTTTTTTGACATGTCTTGAGTGCTTTGTCTTAGTATGCCAGGGAATCCAGTAGCTAATAGATTATATCTTTATTTGAAAATAAACAATATTTTAACAAAAAAAGTACAAATGAATTATTTGACCTTGTTATAGTTTAAAATTTTTCAAACAAATGTTGCTTTTGGAAACAAAGTGCAAGCATCTGTTACTTACTGTTCTTTCAGTTCTATAATTTCTTTTTGCCCCTCTGTTGCCTCATCAAAAAACCCTGCAAATAAAATAATTATATTATTTGAGAATTTATAAAAATCTAAAATGTAAACAATTATTTTAAAGTGACGATTACCATAATCTTTGTGAAAGCTAATATTTATTTTCTCCCATGTTTTTCCTCCTGTTTCAGGTTCAAGTCTGTTCTTAACAGCTTCCATGCACTTCTCCGTTGATTTGAATGGGGGCCAGTAACTTTGTTTCTTGTCAGGGGTCAACCAGTTTGATGCGACCACCATCACCTCATCTGAGTCTTGCAAGGTAACAACCGCATACATGATCTGTCTAGTGAAGGGGGAAATAATTATGTTTAGCTTGGATTCAAAAATAATATGCTTAATATTATAGTAAGTTGAAAAGTTGACCGAACAAATCATTTTAAAGTCATGCAATTCTGACAAAATACACAGAAACAACCAATTCACAAGTAATTTTTCCCACTTTGGTTGGACTACCTAGTTGCACAAATTATGCCACAAGCTAAATACTGAATGCAAGACATATGTTTGTTATTAATAACAAATGAGATCTTGGTCATCTTCAAGATCCTCACCTTCCATCACCCTCCATCAAAATGTCTTTTTTCTCATTTATAATAGACCAAAAATCCCGCTCTTCACACACTCTCCTCTCTGTATTGCTTTTGTCCGGTTTAGACCAACTGGCTTCTGATTCCTCTTCTGTGTTGTGTGCAAGTGTTTCCTCCTCCCTTTTATTCCAGTCCTCATCATTAGACTCATTTCCCAAACACTTTAATTTTTTATCATCAGCATTTCCTTTGGATAATTCCTTAATGTAATACATTTCATTATCTGTGTTCCTCACTGCAGCTATTACTTCCTGAAGGTCCTCAGGTTGGATGCAAAGAATAACACTTTGTTTAAAAACGAGAATATGTTTCTGTTTTAAACTCCCAGCTAATGCGGAAGCAAAGCATTTCAGAGCCAGTGTAATGAGAACTGGGGTCAAAGGGCAGCCCTGATCCAGCAGTTTGTCTCTCTCAGCTGAAGTGTCTACAGATTCAGTGTCTGCTTCTGGTGCATCTCTGAAAAGGTTTTGAAAAGGAACGTCTGGGAGAATTATCAGCCGACACCCGTTTGGCTGCTGACCTCTTAATAAAGGTGGTGGAAGAACAATTGTATTTGGATAGACCACCCGTGGAGATCCCTGGCAAGGCCAAAGAGGGGTATCTTATGTATGGGTTAAAAGTTAAAGATATCACGGCCTTGTATGGAGTTGCTCGAATGCAGCAGTGTGGACTGTAGTAGACTACAACTCAAATGTATTTTAATATACGTGTAAAAATCTTTGGAAATACTACCGTTTCTCTGTTCACTCTCCACTTCATCTGCTAAAGAATTTAACGCTCGTATTAGCTCTGCCGCTGCCATTTTTTCAACACTTCAAAACCATAGACGGTAAAAGAGTTCAAAACACGTAACTAGCCATAACATGTTATGTTTACCTGTTGCCGATCCCCGCCTTGATGCAGTGATTGACAGGGCAGGAGGGGGCGTGGTCGGCTCAGAATGCATTTTCAATGTGCACATTGAATTTTGCTACATTCATTGCAGGACATTCATTAAAGTGTCTTGACTGTGAGTGTAAATGCAATTAAGAAAAATAACATTTGAATGATCATTTTGCTTGAAAATGTTACACATATCTAGTCATTTCTGTAATGCGTTTTAATTTTAATTTTTCAACTTAAAGCGTTTCAATATGCATATTAAAACTAGTGTATGAATTGGCAAATGTAAATTATGTAATTATTTTCATTTTGTACCAAACGTTGCTAGAATGGTAATGTAAAATGTACATTTAAATACAGAATGCAATACCATATTACATATTGCATTTTCATTTTGCATATTACATTTCAAACTGAATATTGCTACCCACATGCTTCCATTAAATCGAGCATTGACACAAGTAATGTAACAATTAAGCAAGTAGAAGCAACGTGTGCATAAATGTAGACATAATGTGTTTCAATAGTGATTATAAAATGTGACCTTTAGAGCTCTCAGGAGTGGAAGATTTTTTGAGGAGAGAGAGAGAAAACAAGCATGCGGAAGCCTGCTAAGACCACATCCTCTAATTACAGCTCACAAATAACATACATATTTATAATCAACTTTAAGCATCATGATCATTTTAAGGAAAAGTTACCTGGAACCATAAAAGTCTGTGGAACCGAAGACTGCCATCGATTCAGCTGTCAAGTTGAGCAGACTAGATTCACTTGTGCACTGTTTGATAATTATTTCCTTATAGAGCGACATTTCCTGTACCTCCCACACCTTTACTTTCATTTCTAGTCTCCATCTCCATCAGAGCTCCTTACGAGGTTGTTCTGCAATTGGTGATGAAACAATGAACATTCAGAGCACAAATTCTGAAGATTTGGATGACAGCACACAAATAAAATCCATTCTCATGATCAATACTGATCATTTTGATCCATACAATGTATTGTTGGATATTGCCACAAATGTACCGACTTATGACCGGTTTTGTGGTCCAGGGTCACATTTATGTGCTTAATAAAAATATGCTGCAATTTTACTTATACTATGGTTAATAAGGTGTTAGACTGATTATGTTTGTTGTTTTGGCAATATCCTCTTTTGAATCTGATACCCCTCTTTTTCTTTTGCTTGATTTGTAAATAAAAACTTTTTCTTTCATGAAATGTAATATGGTTATTTGGGTTGTTTTGAAACAATTCTGAGTCTGGAGACGGGGTAGCTTCATGCTGTTGTGCACTCCTTTCACCGCCATGCATTTTTTTTTTACTTTAATGTGTAATATGTTTGTTTTTTTTAAACTTGATTCTTTATCAAGTGCTTTTTTATTTGTAAGAGGTTACTTCACAACCTATCAGCACTTTTTGAGGAACATAATGAACATCATCAGCTGTAGTTTTGTTCTTGATTCACTACAGTTTACATTTCTCTCTCATCTGTCCTTTGAAAGCTCTGTGTTTGCTCTTTAGTCTGAGATTGTGCACAGTAAAACCTCCAGTGTTGAAATCCTGCACCATCACTTCCTGCTTACCACGTTTAGATTCTTATAGAGCAGAGTATGCATAATATCAATAAAGTGCTTTGCAAAGTGAAACCAAAATAAAACAATATAAATCAAAAATTAAAAAAAAAATTAAAAGCCCCAAATAAAATCCAGTCCACTAAAAGCTTGTTTAAATAAAAGTGTCTTGAGTTGGAAAAAAAAAAATCTGTATCTTTTAACATAGAACGTTGGCACAACGAACATACCCATCCTTTTAACCACCCTCCATTTCCCCCGAATACCACTTCCAGTTTAACAAGTGAAGATTCTTACAGAGCAGAGTATGCATAATGTCAATACACCTGTAACACTTTGGTACTCAAGAACAGGCTGAAGACTCAGAAGATGAAATCCAAACAACACTTTAATAGTAACAATAGTAATAGCTTACTAATATTCTTGTAATAGTGAAATCACAATGTGCTTTACAAAGTGCAACCAAAATAATAAAACAATATTAAATCAAAAATTTGTAAAAATAATAAAAAAATAATAAAGCTTGTTTAAATAACAGTGTCTTGAGTTGCCTTTAAAAAAAGAATAATCGACAGAGTCGGCCACACGGAGGGACAGGATCTCCAAAAAATCTAATTAAAGTACAATGAAGATCTCGAAAGTCATAAGTATACATGTTTATTTCTTGCAAGAAAGGCAGTTCCCAAAAAGACAGAGTCTGATATGAGAAGGGCCAAGAGCTTCCCATTTTACAGAGTTTATATACAAAATATCACCCTCCAAGATGTACCCCCTCCTCTTCGTACACAGTTTTAGTTCTCCTTTTTCACCTATGTCTTGAGCTTTGTCTTGTGCTTAACGCACCCAATCCTATTTGCAATTTCCCTGACACATCATTTTCTGAAAAGGCACATCTATTGTTTAAAACATCTCTATCTAAAACAAGAAAACATCTGTGTTTTATAAAACACACAAGCATATGTTCAAAAAGAAAAGATACATCTAAAGAAAAGATAATATGATTGGTTCTTCATTTACAGTCTCTTCTGTTAGGTAGAGGAGACTTTGTTTAAACGATTACTTCATAGATGACAACTTAGTCATCTGTCTGGTTCCATTTCTCATATTTGTTATTTAAACACACAATCAGGCGCTTGACATACAGAATGTCTTACATTGTCTCAGAGATTTAGCAGATAAATGAGGTCAACTGATAAACCATGGTTAGAGTACTGTAATATTCAGTTTAAAATTTCCCTTACATACGTCACACGTAGGCTCACTATTGGCCGACACTGGTAATGTGTGTGATGTGCGTGACGTAAAACCTAGAAGCGCTGTGCAGTTCAACTACGTGAAATCTCGAGGCCCACAGAGAAAGAAATGAATAGTTGAATGAAGTCGTTATTTTTGTTTGTTTGTTTTTTTTGGTGCACAAAAAGTATTCTTGTCGCTTGATAAACTTAAGATTGAGCCACTGTAGTCGTGTGTGTACGTCACTCATTGTTTACACAGAGATTTCGGAAGTTTTACCTTTCATTGTGAAGATCTAAACATATTTAGATATACAGGAAATCGCAATGGAAGACGATTTCGTTATATCTAAATATGTTTAGAAATATGTAAATCTCGGCGTAAACAATGAGTGACGTGCACGCGCGAGAGATCACTTCCGGCACTTGCGCAGACCGAAGTGCCCGTGCCTTCAGATCACTTGGGCGTGGCTGTGGTTACAAGAGGTAAAACCGATATATAAATACTGTTCGTTTTCTCACACAAACCACTCGTTTTCGTGTCTTAGGCCCATCAATGTGTACTTTCATTTACGAGTCATTAAATCATGTTTAATTTGGACTTTTCTGTGCATGCTCTTTGAGGTGGGCCCCATAAATCTCCATTATATGACTGAAAGACAACAACGGTTTGACCTAAAAATATCAAAATTGAAAATACTGTGGAAACAAAGACACCTAAATCTTGGATGCTCTTGAGGTAAGCTAAAACATATCAAAAAATAATTTCAAAGTGAACTATCCCTTTAACAAGTTTAGATTTTTACAGAGCAGAGTATGCATAATATCATATAAATATAAGTGCAACCAAAATAAAACAATATAAATCAAAAATTAAAAAAAATAAAAGCCCCAAATAAAATCCAGTCAACTAAAAGCTTGTTTAAATAAAAGTGTCTTGAGTTGGGGGAAAAAAGAAAAAAGAATCGACAGAGTCAACCACACGGAGGGACTTAGGCTCCAAAAAATCTGTATCTTTTAACACAGAACATTGGCACAACGTACCCAACCTTCTAACCACCCTCCATTTCCACCGAATACCACTTCCTGCTTAAAAAGTGTAGATTCTTACAGAGCAGAGTATGCATAATGTCAATACACCTGTAACACTGTGGTACTCAAGAACAGGCTGAAAACTCAGAAGATGAAATCCAAAAAACACTTTAATAGTAACAATTCTAATAGTTTTAAATAGTTTTAAACAATTTACTAGTAATAGTAGAATCACAACGTGCTTTGCAAAGTGCAACCAAAATAATAAAACAATATAAAATCAAAAATGTGTTAAAAAAATACAAATAAAATCAATTCAACTAAAAGCTTGTTTAAATAACAGTGTCTTGAGTTGCCTTTAAAAAAAAAAAAATATTGACCGAGTCGGCCACACGGAGGGACAGGATCTCCAAAAAATCTGTATCTTTTAACACAGAATGTTGGCACAACGTACCCAACCTTCTACCTTCAGTGTTGAAATCCTGGTGTTAAAGGGTTAGTTCACCCAAAAATGAAAAATAAGTCATTAATTATCACCCCCATGCTACCAACCCCGTAAGACCACAAATGAAGATATTTTTGATTAAATTTAAGAAGTGGATCACTGCTACATAGGCTGCCTAAGGGATTGAAACTTGACGGCCCAGAAAATCAATGAAGAAAATGTTTAAATATTCCATGTGACAACAGTGGCTCAAGTATAAGTTTATCAAGCGACGAGAATACTTTTTGTGTGAATATGAATTTTACCATGTTAAGTAATTTATATTAACTAATAGTCAATTATAACCAAATTATTATTGATTATTAATATTTCATATAGTTAATTTGTTACAGAGGGTAGTAACTAATCCTGGATCTACACAGTGCATTAAAACATTGTGGAGGCTGGGCACTCAACAAGGGACCCTCGATGAGGGATGATATAGCAGAGAGGCCTCATGAGAGTCCTTCAACCTTAAGGGATAGCTACAGTAGGTTTGGCTCTGGGCTAGAATCAGGGAGGCTCAAAGGGAGCCTACATCGTAATGATCTTATTTATTGCTTGATAGCGATACTTGTTAGCAGAAATAGACTCAGATATCGGTGTGCGATATGCAAAAATAAATGACAACAAATCACAACATCCTACAATAGACAGTGTAACACTGGCCTCAACCATTCACATGGTTCACACAATACAATACATAATTACATAATACAATACATACACATATCGACTTACCTTCTGCGGAAGTCAACAACCTTTGTTTTATATTTTATCTAGAGATAGAGTTGTTGTGGCACTAGCGTAACAGTTGTTCCACCTCCTCGTATCCTGCTTCGTTGTTGGCGCTGATGCGGCCTACCACAGTTGTATCATCTGCAAACTTGATAAACTTGTTGGATTCAGACTTTGTAGTGCAGTCGTGGGTGAGCAGGGTGAACAGCGGTCGGCTGAGCACACAGCCTTGGAGCACACTGAACCCTTTTTAACTTTTTTCTACGTATGTAGCCTTATTTGCTCATTGTGGATGTGATTTAACACTATATAGTTTAACCATTCAACAAATAATGAATGTTTGAAGAGATCAACCATGACAGTTGTGACCGTGAGGACCAGATGATTTTCAACATCATTAATGCAAAGGTATTAGTGCTGGTCCTGATGCTGCAGAACCTCCTGCCTGTGCTTTGGCTTGAATGTTATGCGTGGATGATGAGTATCAAAGCCAATATCGCTGTAATAATGATTTAAAAACAAAATTCTATTCATGGACACATTTTGTGTGCTTTCTAAGCAAAGTTAATAATTAAATACATTTCACATTTATATTTGTAAGCAGTCATTCTGAATAAAAGTATGCAACGCAGATGTCTGTTTTTATTATTTATTGACAATTAAAAAATATATACATTTAGATTCAAATTAAAAGATTTTAATGATTTAATACAAGAAGAGTATTACAAAGCATTCCTTAAATGGACATTCCTAACCTAAAAATCATCAGTAGACAAAATGCATTTACTTTTATGCTAAATAAGATAAAGACATTTTAATTGCAAAAAACTAAATTGAAAAAAGACTCTTGTTTCATTCCAATCTAAATGCATCAACAATAAAGTTTCTAGAAAATAGGACAGCTGTGATAAGTACTTTTAAATGGCATTTCCATTTATTGCTGTAACGATAAAAAGTGGTAATAAAAAAGGGCAATAAATCAACACACAGTTTGTGTATCATGCAGTTTTCACCTAAAATAAAACACAAATTTTGATGAAAGTGAATCATTTTAAAACCACTAAAAATACCAATATGAGTAAAGCAATAAGCAATATCTATATAATGTAAAACTAGTTAAAACAATTACTGAAATTCATGTTACATTAAATTGCAACGCATTCTCATCCCAAGGCGTCATCTAACTGACAATTTTGACCATGCTTCAATATCTGACGCTTTGGGCACCCCTTTACATGACGCAATCTTAGGGCTAACTGTTGCTTGATAACTTCAGTTTGACAGTTGCTCTGCAAGTCTCTCCAGCTGTTCGATCTCTCTTGAGACATCTAAAGACACATATCAGAGACAGTGATCGAGATTAATTAGTCAACACTTCAAATTTGCTATTTTTTTTGTTTACTTTAAACTCTTGTTTCTTACCCATCATTTTGACATTGCTGGTTTCTGACAGTGAGAGTTTCATTGATTCATTTAGTCCAAATTCAAGAGCATTCTTTATCTCCAACTTTGCAGAAATAAGAGAAGATTATGCTTGACTTTTGCTTGACTACACGTACAGTATAATCTTCTTAATAAATATGATATCAGTACCTTTAAATTCTTGAAACTTGTAAGCATTTCAATTTTTGCCTTGTTGAACATGTCATGTTTTATCTCATCGACTGCGGTTATTAGCAGTTCCTGCCTTTTCTTCATGGATCCGATTCCAGTCACTGCTGCAGCTTCTAAAATAAGAAACACATGGTTTTGCAAGCCCACATAACTGTTAATATAAATTTAGTGTTTTTTAATGTAACTTTTAATGCTCGCTTACGTTCATAGTAAGAAGACATTTCCTTCTCAATGGTTGTTTGGATTGATGAGTAGATTTTCTTCTTTCTATCAACAACCACTCTTTTAAGTAATGTCTTCAGATTAGTTTCCTTTTAACATAGGGGAAAAACATTGTCAGAAAAGTGTCAAAAACGATCAAATAAAAAGAAAAAACAATGTCCCTGCTTACTTCAGTAATGAAGATTGAGGACATTGAGTTCAGAGGGAGTAAAAACTTAAGACCCCTGAGTAACAACAGGAGGACAAATGAACTCACCACTGTTTTGATGAAGTTCTGAATGTGATGTAATATGGGAGATCCAGGAGAAGCAGAGTCACTCTGGATGATACTGAACTTGTCAATCTGTTCTTGCACTGACTTCCCTGTTGTTCCAGTAACACTGAAGCCAAGAGAAAACGTAATAATGTAAACATTTTCATTTAAAAACTGTCTACAGAATATTGTCGTCACATCCATAACAGGGTTTTTGTCACATCCATAACGTTGTTTTTTCTGCATAATACACTTCATAAAAATATAGATATTTTAAACATTGATATTTTTATGTTCAGCTAAGACCCCTTCATCATGTGGATAGCAATATTTATACATTGGATTTAAAAGTTCACAGGCTTTAAAGGAAATCAAACAGTATACCAAAAACTCAGTCATTTCCTGTCACATCCATGACGCATGCATATTTTCCTTTTTTGGGGGTGCGCTTAAATATATTTTAGAAAAACATATTTTACCTGTCAATTCCCCAGATTGGGTGCTCTGAGAATATGCATTTCCAATTTAAATATTGTAAGAAGTTTTTTTTTTTTTTTTTCTGAGACATTTCCCCTGTCATTATGAGTTCAAATTTCACATCCATAACGCTGGAATTACCTTTGTAATGATATAATGTAATACAAGAATAGAACTCAGTATAGCCAGTATAAACCCAGTTATATGTTCGGTCCTGTCTAAAGCCCGGAACACACCAAGCGGACGCCAACGAACTAGCGCTGATGAAAGCAGACTGTGTTGTCGCCTCTCGTCGAAGTAAAAAGCTGCACTATAAGAAGACATAACATAAGAACAGCCTTCTATCTTTACCGTTTTGACTTCTTTGCTTGCTGTTTTGCTTTTATTCTTGTGCCTGACTCTTTCACTAAGCTGAACAGCCAATCAGAGTTCTCTCTTTCCCCAACGGCCCGACGCCGATTCAACATGTCGAATCAGGCGAAACAAAGCCGACGAGGACTATTTTTAGCCAACGGCACGGAACCGTGCGTATCACACTTAAACCTAAGGAAAGTTAATTGGCCTTAATTGGCCGACGCACAAAATCTGCCTGACGTCCGACCGTCGGCTTGGTGTGTTCCGGGCTTAAGGCTGTGTGAAATCTGGAATTGACAGCATGTCAGAAGTGAATCATTTACTCAACCGGTTCATTCAAATCGTGAATGAATTCGTTACGAAACACCGCGGTGTTACACGGATCTGCTGTGGCTCATTAGCAAAATAGAACATTATTCATAATATTGTGTTTAAACCTCAAAATTAACTTCTTCTTTATTCAACTGTTGTATAAATCAGTTTCACATTTGCAGTCAGGAAAAACAATGTTCTTCACATCTCCAATAATCAGCTGAGTGTCTTCTTAAATGTGCACTGTGTAATTTTTAGCAGTGAGGTTGTGAATGGCAACCAACAGAAGTTATGGTGGCCGACAGGAAAAGATGTCATCATCTGAGACTGTAGAGCAGTCTTTAGACTTTAGATTTACATTATTATTACATTATTATTTAAAATATATATTATTGCAAATATTATTGTTGCTTGTTCATCATTATGTCAGTGTTTTACTCTCTGACTTTAGCTTGCTTCTTTGCACGAATAACAACGGCCATTGTTGTTAGCCACGCAAAATGGCTATTCCAATGTTAAGGGACCCGCGGTGTATCTAGATAAAAATGGCTCATTCTAAGGTAATAAAAACAGGTTCATTATGTAAGGTCACCACTTTACACCATTAAAAACATAGCCTATATACAAACCCAATTCCATAAAAGTTGGGACACTGTACAAATTGTGAATAAAAACAGAATGTGGAAGTTTCAAATTTCAATATTATATTTAGAATACAACATAGATGACATATCAAATGTTGAAAGTGAGACATTTTGAATTGCCATGCCAAATATTGGCTCCTTTTGGATTTCATGAGAGCTACAAATTCCAAAAAAGTTGGGACAGGTAGCAATAAGAGGCCAGAAAAGTTAAAAGTACATATAAGGAACAGCTGGAGGACCAATTTGCAACTTATTAGGTCAATTGGCAACATGATTGGGTATAAAAAGAGCCTCTCAGAGTGGCAGTGTCTCTCAGAAGTCAAGATGGGCAGAGGATCACCAATTCCCCCAATGCTGAGGCAAAAAATAGTGGAGCAATATCAGAAAGGAGTTTCTCAGAGAAAAATTGCAAAGAGTTTGAAGTTATCATCATCAACAGTGCATAATATAATCCAAAGATTCAGCGAATCTGGAACAATCTCTGTGCATAAGGGTCAAGGCCGGAAAACCATACTGAATGCCCGTGATCTTCGGGTCCTTAGACGGCACTGCATCACACACAGGAATGCTACTCTAATGGAAATCACAACATGGGCTCAAGAATACTTCCAGAAAACATTGTCAGTGAACACAATCCACCGTGCCATTCACCGTTGCCGGCTAAAGCTCTATAGGTCAAAAAAGAAGCCATATCTAAACGGGAACCAGAAGCGCAGGCGTTTTCTCTGGGCCAAGGCTCATTTAAAGTGGACTCTAGCAAAGTGGAAAACTGTTCTGTGGTCAGACGAATCAAAATTTGAAGTTCTTTTTGGAAAACTGGGACGCCATGTCATCCGGACTAAAGAGGACAAGGACAATCCAAGTTGTTATCAGCGCTCAGTTCAGAAGCCTGCATCTCTGATGGTATGGGGTTGCATGAGTGCGTGTGGCATGGGCAGCTTACACATCTGGAAAGGCACCATCAATGCTGAAAGGTATATTCAAGTTCTAGAACAACATATGCTCCCATCCAGACATCGTCTCTTTCAGGGAAGACCTTGTATTTTCCAACAAGACAATGCCAAACCACATACTGCATCAATTACAACATCATGGCTGCGTAGAAGAAGGATCCGGGTACTGAAATGGCCAGCCTGCAGTCCAGATCTTTCACCCATAGAAAACATTTGGCGCATCATAAAGAGGAAGATGCAACAAAGAAGACCTAAGACAGTTGAGCAGCTAGAAGCCTTTATTAGACAAGAATGGGACAACATTCCTATTCCTAAACTTGAGCAACTTGTCTCCTCAGTCCCCAGACGTTTGCAGACTGTTATTAAAAGAAGAGGGGATGCCACACAGTGGTAAAAATGGCCTTGTCCCAACTTTTTTGAGATGTGTTGATGCCATGAAATTTAAAATCAACTTATGTTTCCCTTAAAATTATGCATTTTCTCAGTTTAAACATTTGATATGTCATCTATGTTGTATTCTAAATATAATATTGAAATTTGAAACTTCCACATCATTGCATTCTGTTTTTATTCACAATTTGTACAGTGTCCCAACTTTTATGGAATTCGGTTTGTATATGATATTGCATTTCTGCCAACAGATCCTCCTAAATATTACACAATGCAACTTTAAAAGAGAGCTACCTTAGGTCAGTATTTGAAAGCATTCGTGACTTACAACCATTTGAGTTTGAATTTTCACATTTATGCTCAAAATGATTACCGGTTACTAAATGGAAAAATAAAATGAAACTTACGGGAAAATCAGATTGAAATATTCATAAATATTTTCATGCAAGTGTTTTCCCAATTGCCTGTTCAGATCTAGGATTACGTCCCAATTTTTTGACCAGTAGCATCCACCGTTCTTGCACAAAGCTTGAAGGATTTTATGGAATCCTCTTCGATCAATATTCTGACAAAAACAAAAATACCAATGTCATTAAAAGGGCAAGAAAATTGTGATTCACTTTGCACATTACAATCACACTTACAGGGGCTATAATTGCTTTTGTGGAAGCAACACATAATTGCACTGATTCATCCACTCCTTTTGAGAGAAACTTCTCCAGATTAGTATAAATGGTGTCAAAACGACTGTCCAGTTCATTCAGTGCCTTCTTTAGGTTATTCTCTAATTCCATGCAGACTTTGACTTTTGTCTCCTCCTGAAACACATTTGCACAAGAGAAGTGAACTATAAATAATGTATATTGGCTGCATTCTGAAGACACATGTATATCAGCAGTTCAGACTCGTACCGTTTTCTTGTCTCTATCCAGCTGAACACTTTGGATCAAGGACAAAACTTCCCTTGCTTCATTGACATAATCACTGGTCAGCTCTCTGTTAATGTTCTTGTTAAGAATCCTCGGATCATCCCGTAACTTTGGGATTTCTATCGAAGGGTATACTTTGATCAGTCCTAGATTGATTAACTACAAATTGGCATTTAGTTCATGTATGGATTTTATTTTATTTTTTACTTGAATAATGTGGTAGTTTGGTAAACAGCAGTACCTGTTTCACTAGGTCCCAGAATTAAATTATGTTCGAAGAAGGCATTGGAACTTACAGTGAAGACATTAAGAAAATTATCATCAGTGGCAGTGCTGAATCTTTTCTAAAAAACAATAATAATAATAACAATAATAGATAAATAATATCATATATTACCAGAAATTATTAAAAATGGTCAAATTTAAGAAACTACCTTGATTTCAGAATTTTCAAACTTTTCTTTGACTCTTGTCTTGGAAAGTTCATTTCTATGAAGTATGCACACCTTTTTCTGATCATTAAGAGACTGATAAAAAAACAACAACATATTAATGAAATGTATAATACCAGTGTGAAATGTAATACAATTGTTGATTATACAAGCTGTATATCATTACTGAATGTAGAAACTAGCTGTATATGTAAAACATTGACTTTTTATATTGACTTTTCAACTTGAGCTGGAACACTAGGTTGACTATGAAATGGCAATTAAAAAAATACGCTTATTTTCAGAACTTTCTATGGGTATTTGTTTTACTTAATCTAAATAAAAACTTATTTCAATACAAACTAGGAAAACGTATAAAAATAAGAAATATATGCTATAAGATTTTCCAAACCTTGTCTTCTGATATAGTAAGCCGTGCAGATCTAAAAAGAAATATTAAAAAAAGTGTTTTTTTGTTTTGTTTTGTGAATAGCTTTTTAATTCTTTTTTGTATTAAATAGCTGTGACAAGCAGAAGCTGTGCTTTTTGTAACATTTTGCAAACACTTGAAAGACCACTCAACCATTCTCCAAAACAGGAGTGTCCAAACTCTGTCCTGAGGGCCACTGTCCTGCAGAGTTTAGCTTCAACTTGTCCCACGCTGGCCTGGAAGTTTCTAGTATGCCTACTAGTAACACCTTGATTAGCTGTTTCAGGTTTGTTTTATTGGTTGGAGCTAAACTCAGCAGAATAGTGGCCCTCCTGGGGCAGAATTCGACACCCCTGCTCCAAAACATATCAAGAAAACCGAACAAGCAAAATGATTGAAACAATTCCTGACTGGCTCAAAAAATGGCCCATACGCTTGCCTCTACGTTGTTGAGATACAGAGACAAGTTGATTTATCTATGATACCTACTTCAGTGACATCTGCCAGTAAAAATCACCTTTAATGGCAAAGAGATTATAATTCTAACCTTATATAGGCTGGTGCATTGATATCATCCGTTTTTGTACAGATGAAGTTGATTCTTTTGCATTCTCCTTCTGGTCCCAGTTCTTCAATGCAGAGATTTAAAATCCCCCAGGGGTCTTTGTCGGTGGTTGCTCGCTTGATATCACTTACAATCCACACAGAAGAGCACTCTCTCAGTTTCTACAAGTTTGGAAATAGTGATTTAGGAGACATGCTTTTAGTTTTGGAAAAAATATCCATACAACAACTTCTTTACAGTATACAGACAAAGCATTATTAAATCATTTACTTGCGGTTTGTGATGCAGCTGTTGGGAGATCCAATTACAGTTGGCTGCTTCATTGTTTAACAAAAGTTTCTTTACAAACAAGCCTCATTTATAACACAAAATGCTCCAAACAAACTTATAATTCGCTCAAGGACAACATTAAAATAAACCATCCACTTTTTCCAGGTGCCGAGATCCTTCTGAAGTATGTACAGAGACACAAATAAACTGTTTGAACGGGGTGCGTAAAAGCGAGCGTTCTTTCACTTAACAATTTTTCCTGTTGTCAACAGATTCAAGTGGGTGTGTATGTTAAACTGAATGTGCATCTGTATGCAGTGTAGACAGCGTCAGTGATTATAATGGGTTCTATTTGTTTTTGATGTGACACGCACAGCCGGTGTAGGCACGTGTCAGCTTTTAAAGACCGAACGCCAGTGGGTGGGGCCTATATGGTGCAATACTATTGGTCGATGTCTTGCTCTAGGGGCAGTCATATGCAAATGTATTTACCCGCATGACATCACAGATCCTGGAATTTCAAAATCAGCCATTTATTTTAGCTTGATTTAATAATGCTTTGTTTATAACGATCTGGACGTGTTAAGCTAAGAAACTTGCAGGATGTCTTAATGGTACAAAGACAATGGTACAAAAAAAGCAAAAAAAAAGAGCATTTTGATTTGAAATTTGATTTCTCATGTCGTGACCCGCAATACTGTGCGTATATTATTCCAAAAGTTCATTGGAATAGAGTGCAGTAATATACGTACAGATTTCCACTTGTCATCTCTTAACTTGTTGCAGTCTCCACTGCCAGGAATATCAACAAGCACAATGTGTTCCAGGAGGTTATGACAATCTGGAACCTTAAAGGTCACACTCTTCACAAGCGGCCAGTACCAGCCACCAGGACTGGCTTCACTGTGGATAATGTAAGATGCAACATCATTGGAAAATTTAGAGACCTGTTGAGATAATAAGAATTTATGATACTAATTCACAAATTCATAATACATGCATAATACATTCAATGTCATGAGCCATCAGGCATTAAAGGGTTAATACACCCCAAATTGAAATTCTGTCAGTAATTACTGACCCTCGTGTTGCTCCAACCCTGTAAGACTTTCGTTCATCTTCGGAACACAAATTATTAAGATATTTTTGATGAAATGGTTCATGAAATGGAGCTGGCTCACTCCTTCATTGGCTGCTAGGTAATCGATATCTCACAAGCCAAAAAAGTTAGTAAAGACATTGCTAAAATAGTGACTACCAACCCGATCTCACAGGAATTCGTACAAACTTTACGAGGTGGCTAATTCGTAACAATTTGTACGACCTCACTCGTACGAATTAGTACAATTTTTGCTAAATCTTACATATTTTACGAATTGGCCAATTCATATGAATTCGTACGAATGACCAGGGCGGAGCAGGACGAGGCAGAGGCCAGGGCGGAGCAGGACGTGAAGGCGGCCAGGGCGGAGCAGGCTCAGGCAGAGACGAGGGCGAAGCAGACTCAGGTGCGGTCCATGTCAGTGCCGCCTCCATGGCCCCCACGGAGTACCTACTGCCCCCCCCAAAAAAATACTTGGGGAAATTCACGGGAGGAACCTCTGGGTGGTGAACGGGTACAGGAAAGGCCTCCCGGAGCTTGAAGGGTGCAGGCAGAGCGAGGCGCAGAGGCGGGGCCGGCAGAGCGAGGAGTCTGGGCACGCTCACCGGGGCCTGGCGAACCAAACGAGTCCTCCTTCTCCTCCTCCTGCGGCGACGCGTCACAGGGCTGGACCACTCACTCACTTGAAGAGGAGATGCAGCGCTCACTTGAAGAGGAGATGCAGCGCTCACTTGAAGAGGAGATTCAGCGCTCACTTGAAGAGGAGATTCAGCGCTCACTTGAAGAGGAGATTCAGCGCTCACTTGAAGAGGAGATTCAGCGCTCACTTGAAGAGGAGATTCAGCGCTCACTTGAAGAGGAGATTCAGCGCTCACTTGAAGAGGAGATTCAGCGCTCACTTGAAGAGGAGATGCAGCGCTCACTTGAAGAGGAGATGCAGCGCTCACTTGAAGAGGAGATGCAGCGCTCACTTGAAGAGGAGATGCAGCGCTCACTTGAAGAGGAGATTCAGCGCTCACTTGAAGAGGAGATTCAGCGCTCACTTGAAGAGGAGATTCAGCGCTCACTTGAAGAGGAGATTCAGCGCTCACTTGAAGAGGAGATTCAGCGCTCACTTGAAGAGGAGATTCAGCGCTCACTTGAAGAGGAGATTCAGCGCTCACTTGAAGAGGAGATTCAGCGCTCACTTGAAGAGGAGATGCAGCGCTCACTTGAAGAGGAGATTCAGCGCTCACTTGAAGAGGAGATGCAGCGCTCACTTGAAGAGGAGATGCAGCGCTCACTTGAAGAGGAGATGCAGCGCTCACTTGAAGAGGAGATGCAGCGCTCACTTGAAGAGGAGATGCAGCGCTCACTTGAAGAGGAGATGCAGCGCTCACTTGAAGAGGAGATTCAGCGCTCACTTGAAGAGGAGATGCAGCGCTCACTTGAAGAGGAGATGCAGCGCTCACTTGAAGAGGAGATGCAGCGCTCACTTGAAGAGGAGATTCATCCACTTGAACAGGATCACTCACTTGAACTGAAGATTCACTCACTTGAACCGGAGACTCATCCACTTGAACTGGAGATTCATCCACTTGAACCGGAGATTCATCCACTTGAACCGGAGACTCATCCACTTGAACCGGAGACTCATCCACTTGAACCGAAGATTCACTCACTTGAACAGAAGACTCAGCCCTCACTTGAACTGGAGATTTATCCACTTGAACAGGAGATTCATCCACTTGAACAGGATCACTCACTTGAACTGAAGATTCACTCACTTAACCCGGAGACTCATCCACTTGAACTGGAGATTCATCCACTTGAACAGGAGATTCCCTCGCGGGGCTCACGTGAATCGCGAGTTCGGCTGGGCTGACGTGAAGCGCGGGCTCGGCTGGGCTGACGTGAGTCGCGGGCTCGTCAATGCGCACGTGAAGCGCGGGCTCGTCGTGACTGACGTGAACCAGCGGTAAAGACGACGAGGGCTTCGCGGGTAAAGTACACTCGGCAGGTGTCGAGTAGAATAAGCGCGCAGTAGTGAAGAGGTCCTGCAAGGAACAAGCCCGAGCGACATACCCGTCAAGAGTCCAGTTGGCAAGGTCCCGCGGCATCCATCAAGCGATCTCATAATCCAGCCCATTCAGAAACAGGCCCATGAGCTGGATATCATCTAGCGCTCCCACACTGCTAATGGACAGGAACTCCTTCGCGTACCTTTGGACAGACCGGCCCTCTTGCAAGACTGACGACAGGTATTCTGTCATAGCCCGGTTGCTGACGACTGCTGGACCCATATTGAGGTTGGTTGTTCTGTGACGCTGTGCGGAGAAACAGAGCTGAGGCTGGGTCCAAACGCAGTGTAGCTTTATTAAACAAACTTAAAACAAGACACTAGAAGCAAGACTCGAGAGACGTGAAAGCACCAACGCAACACACATAAATTCAACAACCAACAAAGACAGGGCAGAAACACAGGGCTTAAATAATCAAACGAGCTAGACAAGATAACAAGGGGGCGTGAGAAATGAGAAACACCTGGGATAAATAATAGACCGGCAATAACTAATAACGAAAACACACAAAACCACTACGTGACAGAATTAGAACGAATTAGCCACTTTTTAATCACTTGTACGAATTCGTATGAATTGGTCGTGAGATAGCGTTGTGACTACAGTGGCTCAACCTTAAGTTTATCAAGCAACGAGAATACTTTTTGTGCGTAAAAAACAAACAAAAATAACGACTTTATTCCACTTTTCAGTACGCATAATGTAACAGCGGATTGCTTCTGGGTTGTATGTCAGAACGTAGGCTCACTATTGGCCGACGCTGGTCATGTGTGTGATGATGTCCAATAGTGAGCCTACGTTCTGACGTACAACACAGAAGCGCTGCGCTGTTTCATTACGTGAACTCACTCAGAGGCCCACACATAAGAAAATGAATAGTTGAATAAAGTCATTGTTGTTTTTTTACGCACAAAAAGTATTCTCGTCGCTTGATAAACTTGAGGTTGAGCCATTGTAGTCACTCTGAATATTTTAACGATGTCTTTCATAACTTTTCTGCATATATCGATTACCTAGCAGCCTATGAAGGAGTGATCCAGCTCTCAGATTTCATCAAAAATATCTTAATTTGTGTTCCGAGAGGAATGAAAGTCTTGCGGTTTTGGAACATCTTGAGGGTTACTGGCAGAATTTTCTTTTTTTGGTGAACTAACCCTTTAACATATTTATTTTACTAACTTACATCATTGTTTGAGATGGTTTTCTTATTACAAGACAAAAAGGTTTCAATCTCAGCAAATCTTTCATCTTCCTGGAGTTCTTCTAATGTTTTCTTGTCTGCATCAGCTCCATACAGCGCAGTGATCTTTTCTACAGCAATTTGAAACATGTCATCATCTCTGTCCTCACTTTCATCTGACAAAACTCTGAAAAGATCTTTGAGCTCTTTCTCCCACTCCTGCAGAGGGACAATATAGAAAATAAGGCTTTTTTCCCTTCCTGTCTGATTTAATAACATATTTATGAAGAACTATCACCGTATAATAAAATGAAAACAAATAAGGAAACCTCATTAGAGTAGAGTTCAATTTCTGCTATGTAGTTGGAGTCAGTCAGATTGGCTTCCACCTGAGTAACAACGGCTGTACAGGCACCAAAACAACCAGATGGCAGAAGGTCCCTTGTCCCCAGGACTGCACTTAATAGGGAACTCTTCCCTTCTCCTGATTTTCCAAAAATCCCAATGGTAGCCTTTTTGCTGACATTATTCATTTTTTCTATCTTTGAAATGATGATGTCTTTGTGCATAATGTCTGTGCGGACCAAGATATCAGTGACTCTTTTCATGATTTTCTTTGCCTTCAACATGATCCCCATATCTGTACACAATGAAGAAGAGAATCACAATGGGGATTATTTAAAGCAATAAAGAAAAATTGTGCAGACCTTCTAGGCAACCAAGTGATTTGTTACTCTGGTAGTTCCAGATTAAGTGTAAACAGATTCAGATTTTACTTGCCTGTCAGCGGTGACTCTATGCTGGAGTCAGAGTCAGACGATTCTTGATCACGCTTTCTTTTAGTACCTGTGAGAGAATTAATTCCACTCATTATATTTCCTCAATCACTGACTGCAAAGCAAAGACATGTTTTTTTGAGAAACATTCATACCTTGGCTAGACATTGTGAGATCGATGGAAATACCTGGAGAGGAAAAAAACACTTTTAACCAATTTTAAATCCCACTGTTATGCTACTTTTTATAGCAGAAATGGAACATTATTTAGATAACATGACATCATGACTTTTGCGTAAACATACACGCCACTTTCGAGTCAAGTGGCGTGTTATCTCTACGCATTTTGAGCTATCCGCGTGTATGCGTGTATGTCTACGCCATTAATGTCCAGTCATAAATGCCATTAACCCCAGTGACGGTTAAGTTTAGGGACAGGGCTGAGGTAAGTCATATATTTATATAACGTTAAGTCAACGGCGTTCATAAACACGCTGAAAAGCGATTATGCGTCTTGATAGCACGCCAAAAATGGAAATACAAATTGGCGTGTCATACACGCGCTACTTCATGAGATCAGTCTGATTTAGAGCACATTTAAAGATTTTATCCAATTACACTGTAGAGATTCTATATTCAACTTACAGGTAAAATGGTTTGACCTGATGACTGTAAAACGTTTTGCTTCAACATTGTTTCATTATCGATGTAATTTTTTTTGCTTTTATTTATTTATTTTATTTTATTACAGATACAGCATAGTTAATGAAACTTAACCCACAAAAATACGTTAACTAACAGTAAGCTTTTCCAATTTTAGCAAAATTTCTGAACTATAATACTTTTTCCAGATTAATGTCTGTGAAACAAGACACTGCTATCGATTCAGCAACTTTGAACATTACATCTACCTGTTCAGACTCAGCTTTTGGGTGTGAACGTCTGGCTAAGACATTATGAAATCCAATGAGACACTGTGTTTATCAAAGAAATGATTAAAAAAATCATCTGAGTCTGAAGTTTTATTTGACCTCATATTGTACAAAATGCATCATTATTATCTTTATTTATAGGGCTACTGGGCTTTAGTCCACCAAAATACAGATATCACAAATAATTAAAGTAAAAAGCACATGAAGTGAAAGCACAAATTTCTATTTGTCCTGCAGGCCAAATGGAGATGAAAATCTAAAGACTAAAGACTTCAAAGACAAAGGTAAAGGATTCAGGACAAGTCTAGGTAAATGAGAATATACTGTGACACAATATGACCTCTTGTTTGTCTGTGCATCTCCAGATTTTCTGTTTGTTTAAGTGTGTAAAATAATACATTTAATTTAAGCTTGATTGCATGTTCTTTTGTACATGTTCACATTATTTTTGCAAAACTTTTGCATCACCCCTCTGGGTGTTTTCGACCTCAAACATGTAGCCTAACTATATCTAGGTCACTCAACTCCCTTGCAGTGATTCTCCTCAAATAGACATATAATATCCCCTCTATATTATCTCAGGGCTAACTTATTCTGGTCACTATCGTACCTCCCTAGTCCTATGGTGCAGATAATAACAATGCCTGATAACAATAAGCCATGGTGGGGCAAGTTATTTGCATTCAGTGAGTGCACCACATCTGGTCCTGCTATGGACCCTCACGGGCACTCTATGGGGACTGTTTGGCATCCTGGTACTAGGGCTGGGTAATATCAATTTCTCGATATTAATGGATTCTTAAATCTCAAGAATCGATTAGTCATCCTGTTTCATTTGAATGAATGGAACATTGTATCGCGGCTGCGCGCATCCAAAAAATCGCAATAATCTTTGTCCTTTTTTTACTATTGATATGAAACAAAGTCTCAATTTTCAAATTACGTCCATTTTCTTTAGAAATTCAAAAACATAAATAACGTTTACCAGTCACAGCGCAAAATAAACATGAATGAGCATCTGAAAGTGTGTTAAAAAATAGAGTATACTACAACTTATCTAAATCCGTATCATGTCACATTGATTCGCTCAATCAGCGTTTCAACCGTGGAAAGACGTCAGTTAAACAGCTTGTAATCAATGTCATGTATTGTCATATTTACCTCAGAAAACCCACATAAACTCGTTAGTCAGCTAGAAAAAATAACTCTAGTGAGGAGCATTTTGCTAAATATACCATATTACATATGCATTATAATCTTAATGTTCTTCAATATTTAATGTATATTTGAATAAATCTGGCAAGTTTTTATGACAGCCACCATTTAAATGTTTATATTTCAAATAATCTTCTTATTATAAAAAATAAATAGGCTAAAAGTGTAATTTAAGTGTTTGTATAGCTACAAAACAGTTCATTATTACCTTCATATTAGGCTAATGAAGTCTATAGGCTACAACTAGACTCCCATAGTTTACAGCATTAGTTAAAAGATTTGATTTCCTTGAGAAAAATGGCAATTTATTGTAACTGATATGCAAAATAATCGATATCGAATCGAATCGAATTCCAAGCTTGTGAATCGAAATCGAATCGAATTGTGAAATTTGTCTCAATATCCAGCCCTATCTGGTACCACCAAATGGATTTTAACTTGAGAGCAATGAACAGACCGGGACAATGTCATGGAGGAGGTGTTTATATTTTATTTCGTTATTTTTGCAGAGAAAAGAAAAAGCTAAACACAATTCTCTCTACAAGCATATATTCTGGGAATTCTATTGATCAGAATGTACAATCAGAGATTAAAGAGCTTACCCTGCCCTTCGTCTTTGTAGATGTGTCTAAGAAACGTCGAGTGTATCTTGCACCTGAAGCACCGCTTTCCTACTGCTTGTTGAGACTTGTGTGTTCTGCTCTCATATTCCAGGAAGTGCCTAACAGAGCTACATAACGCTTCTTATGCAGTCAGGTCAAGTAAGGTGACAACATGCACATATGCACATATCTGCAATTGCGGTTTCCTGTATCAATGTAATATGCGTTTTTCATTTTGTTTTATTGTACATTTGAACAGATATCTATCTCTCTACATAATTAATTTGGCAGTTCACACACAATAATGTCTATTTCACCCTGAACCTGAAGATATATTTTCACATAGGAAGTAAGTGTGAATCTGACCACCAGTTTCTCCTTGTTTGTTTCCTGACTATGCTTTTCTTTTTTTTATGATTTAAACCGGAGAACACTTAAAGGGTTACTCCACCCAAAAATGTATTTAATTCATTAATTGCTCACCCCCATAAGACCTTCGTTCGTCTTCAGAACACAAATGAAGATATTTTTGATTAAATTTGAGAGGTGGATCACTGCTACGTAGGCTGCCTAAGGGATTGAAACTTGACGGCCCAGAAAGTCAATGAAGAAAATGTTTAAATATCCCATGTGACTACAGTGGCTCAAGTATAAATTTGTCAAGCGACGAGAATACTTTTTGTGCGAAAAAACAAAAACCTTTCCGTTCCCTTTTTAAAGCTCTTTTTGCCCTTATAAGCTGAAGCAAACAAAGAGCATACACTTATACTGTAGGTAAAGTACAGCTGCGTGTAATGCTTGTCATAAAACAAAAACAATCGTAAAGGTGAGTCATGTCACTTGTACACCATTTAACAGAATTGCAACCATTTCTATTTTTAATATATTATCAGTCAAATGTTATACATATTGTGGGAGTTTTTAAACCAGTTTTGAATAAATCAAAAATTAGTTCAGCTGCTTCCTATGAAGGTTGAAACAGATATTTGTACAAACAGTTATTCTTTTAAAGGGAAAAAAATAGTTTAGTAACCTTTCCACTATTGATTGACCTTTCAGGGCCACCAATAAATGCATAAAGTAAAGCAGAAGTCATGGAAACATAGGCTTGGTAAGTAGTAATAATAAATATATGTGCAGTAGAAAATTGTGCACCTCTCAATTAAAGGGACAGTTCAACCAAAAATGAAAATACTTTCATTTAATCACCCTTATGTCAAACCTATAAGTCTTTCATTCATCTTTGGAACACAAATGAAGATATTTTAAAATGAAATCGGAGATTTCTGTTTCTCCATTCACCATCAACGCAACTACCACTTTGACGCTTCAAAAAGTTCATAAAGAGATTGTAAAACTAATATGAAAACATATGCATTTAGTTTTTCTGAAGAGACACAATCACATTATATAAATAATAGATTATATTAAGGCTTTTATTCACATATAAACATTGATCAGCAAACATAAACAGAAGCTCAACCACTCGCTTGACTCGCAAGAACAAACCTCATTGGTTCTTGTGAAAGTTTAAATGTGATGAATGTTTATATGCGAGTAAAATCCTAAATTCAATCTGTTCATCATATAACATGATTGTGTCTCTTCAGAAAATGTGGACTAAATTAATAGGGTATGGATTAGTTTTACAAAGTGTCAAAGTGGCAGTTGCGTAGCTGTCAATGGAGGGACAGAAATCTCTCAGATTTCATCAAAAGATCTTCATTTGTGTTCAGAAGATGAACAACAGTCTTACGGGTTTGGAACGACACAAGGGTGAGTAAATGACAGAATTTTTTCATTTTTTGGTGAACTAACCCTTTAAAGCAGAGATTAGGCAATTTAATAATCTGACCCACAGAAGAGTCTACAATGAATGCAGAAATCAGAAGCAGCACAAATGATATCAACACCATCTTATCTGGGGTGCACCCAGCATCTTTCAGACATCTTCAGACTGTGTCCATCCATACTACAGAATCCCAGTGGTTTTGGGGTCAATGGGATTGGACAGTGGGTAATGGGCGTCTGAAGAGCAAGATATGTGGTTCTATAAAGAAAAGAAGTCAAAAACATGAACATTTAGTGAAACCGTAATATCTGAGAACCGTAATGTTCTTGACACCTACACACACACACGCTTACCAGGCTGATGGATCATGTAATGCACCCATCCTTGACTCTGCTGAACACCCAGGTTCCTCCATTCTGTCTCTGACATGAGATGGGTCTTGGGAACTCTTTTAGCGATATCTTTAGGAAGCATGACATGCCTAAAAATGAATGGAAAACAAAACAGCATATTCCACTGTAACCACATTATGTCTATTATGTCATTTTAATAGCTCAGAAAAGTAGTACTTGCATATCATATTTATGAAAAACTTATGAATAATTTTCAACGTTTAATTTCGTCTCATTTTTAGCTAAGCACTGGAACTCTATTGTTATTTTTTACATGTACAGCACTGTGGTCTCTGAAACTGCTAAACATAACAGCGAAAAACAATAATTGTAAACGGTAACGTAACGTTAGATGGACTGAATATTTGCCTACCTGTACTCGAATTTCTCGTCGTCATATTTGTCAGAGTAATAAATCTGCTTGTGGGACATGGCGTGATGTTGTTTCTAGATAATAAACAGATGGACTTGCATGTCATACATTTTAAACCAGTGAACTATTGCTTTTTCATTGTAAAGGACAATAATGGATACCAGTTTTATTTCTATAAATGAATATATTTATTTATACAGGAATTATTAGACTTTACCTACAGTGCTGCGTGCTAGCAGCTCATATCACTTTTGCTAATGAACGCAACAGCAAATCCAACATTATCATGGACTATTATATTTATAACACTCATTGTTTCTTATTTCTTGAAAATGTAATAATTTTGGTGTTTACCTTTTCAAATGTTACTTTCGTTTGAGTGTGAAAGCTATTTTATCCAAACGCAATTTGCTAAAACAACCAACAATTACGTTTCACTCACTGGCGCTTGAATTTCCCTCTATCGAACTCTAATCCCACCCATAAGCGTTCGAATGTTTTACAAGTCATTTCTTATTGGCCAAGATGTGAGGACGTCACCTGCGTTTCACAAATAAAAGTCTCTATGGTCACTTTCAGTTTTCTGGCAAAATGTACTTGATTTTATTGTTGGAAATGTTGATGAAACGTTTTACATTACTGTGGAAAGATGTAATACTATGTATTATTTACATTACATTTATTTATTTATTTATTCATTTCTACAGATAAACAAACTCTGCACTTTTATCTTTTTTCTTTTATCTTTCTTTTTTTGATGGCTAAATTTTTTTTGATGGGGGGGGGGGACCATAGACAGTAAAAGAAGGGGAAAACATGTTGTATTGCATTTAAAAATTGCCGTCGAAGAAACATGTACACTCTTTAAAGTATTCATTTAATACGGTTTATACCTCCCCCTAACATTTGAAATGTATTTAATTTGGATTGTTTGTTTCGATATCTCTTCAATAAAATGATAATAATAATAAGACTAAAAACGTTTTATTTATTTTTCCTTATACCCTTTTTATTCTACATATTTCTTTATACTGTTATTATAACGACACAACCAACAAATTAACTGATTACGAATTAAAGAATGCTGGAAGTGCATACCATCAATGATCTCTAGATGGCAGTAAAACCTAATCTATGAAAACATTAGATGAGATAAATTTAGCTCTGTTTATGTATTCCCAGTCCCAAGATTGGGAATAATAAGATTTTTTTAAGATTTAAAAAAAAAATAAAAAAATAAAGATTTATGTTATGCATAATGTACCCAAGGATTTATGTATCTATCTACGCAGGAGTCAAACATATTCACAATAACGATTACAATAACAGTTTGACTGTGATGTCTTACATATCTGTTGCCAATATTGATTAAATAGTTGGTTATTATCTGAGATGTCTGTAAATGCATTAATATTTTTTGTGGATAATGAATGAAATGGTAACAACATTTCTAAAGCATATAGGAAAAGAAATTGGGCTGTTTGCTATTTCAATTTTGGGTGGGTTATACTATATACTATACGATACTACGATGAACATGAAGCCTCTGCGCTTTGGGGGATGAAAAAACGCGATCCTTCTAAAAGGCCTAGCTAAACCAAATCAACCCAAAGACAGTGAAACATGAGATCCTGGAAGGATGTAAATACACATCGTCTATACATCAATAAAATGCAATGATAATGTTCATGTTTGTTCTTGAGTTTAATATAAAAAGCTAAATCTCACCAAATATATTAATGCAAACATAACAATATAACCAAAGAAGACCGAAAATAATTTTCTTGTCCATTATTATCACTGTTATCTGCCAAGACCTGGCCGTACTCGATCGATGACGGGAAGTTAAGGCGCTTCATCTGGAGCGAGGATAGTCGGGAATCTCAAAAAAACAGGTAAACAAAATCACTGCCCGTGCATGAAAATACACAATACAAAAAAATAATACACACGTACATAAAAATGCATGATCATAAAGACATATTGCGGCATCCATGTGAGGTTATTTATAAACAGGTAAATGTTGCTGTGCACATGCAGTGGCCTGCGCTTAAATGACCCTCGCGACGGGGCAGCACGGACCCCGCCGTCATGACAGAACAAACCCCAAAATACACCTCGTATATCTGTTTATCATCCCACGACCTCTTTATTTATTAATATATCAACACCAAAACCTCAACTAAGGGATAAAATGTGACAAAAGCCCTTTATTCGTACCATTAGCGATCCAATTTCGGTCCCCATTTGTAGTTAGCCAGGTCAGAAGCAGGGTTTAGCCGTTCTCAGGCAATTGTGTATGTTTTGTACACCAAATTGATCGTTGCAATGTGCTTAATGGTTACTGGATTATTGTCTTTCTTGTATTGGCCAATATGTATTTATGCAATGTTTTTATTTAATATAAGAGGGCTTGTTTGGATTCTCTTGTTGACACCATAGCAGCTGTAGCGTGCTAAACAGCTCTGTTACCTGAAAATGATCCATTGTTAAGCAAAGAACAATTGAGTGTTTGATCATATATATATGATATTTAAAAAATAAAACAAAAATATATATTTTATATTACAGAAGTTAATATGTCTTCCAGTTCATACATCAATGCTTAGTTTACAGAACCATTACGTGGCTGTTAGCCAAAGCTAACAAAAGCCGTTCGATGTCATTTTGCTGTAGCGCGATGTATTTATATATTTGTATATATTTGTATTGTTGTCGAAGTAAAGAATGGACTATTTGTAAAACAGAAGAATGCATGTGGTTAAAATTATTATCAATTTTACCTCAGTGGTGCCGTTTCTATTAAGATTACAAATAGCTGGGATTCTTGAAATTATTTTATAAACTATGTTTGAGCACAACAGCCTTTTTTATAAACGAAAATCACCTTATGAAAACAGATGACTTGAGATCTTG